ATCCATTTTAATTGATAAGCAAATTGCTTTAAAAAAAAAAAACATTTGGGCAATAGGACCCTGGGAAGGCCGATTTTGAACACTCACCATTGTAAGGAATTTCCCTTTTAGCTTTTTAATCATAAAAAAAAAACTTAACTTATATATACACTGTTGCTTGCTCAGTTACTAACCTGACTGTCACTTGTGGAAACATCACTTCTTAAAGAAGAATCCCCTTTGCTGTTATTTCTGCCCAACAAGTTGGCTGATTCAGGTTGTTCAGTGATCGGGGTTTGTGACTTCTCCACCTGTATTTTAAACAAAGATCAGCGCTGTAGATAGAACAATATTTAACAGAATGCCAACGACTGTGTTATCCATGCCTGTTGTCTATACCACTTGGTGGACCAATGCACAACCACACAAATGCCATGCTCATAGCACAATATCAGATTGCTCCAATCAGTTCAGTAACAATATTTGGTTGTTAAAGGTTATTGCACTTTGGTCTAAGCTTTACTGAATGAGCCTCAGAGAGCACATATGGACACATACATTTCTTTATAACACATGCTGCAAAACATCTTATTTGACATTCTACTCCATCACTTTGCCTTTTTTTCTAAAAAAAATATATTTTCTGCATGTAAAATGCAGAACGCTGGGGTTCATGTAAAATCATATCTCTGCAGTGCATTACTAGTTTCTTTCAGTCTTACCAATCCAGCTGTAGTAGCAGATGAGGCTGGTTCCATTTCTGAGAGTTTTTTCTGCAGCTTTTTGATGGTGGCTTCACTAGCAGCTAGCTGCCTCTTCATATCTTCCAGAGACGAAGAATCCTATGGTAGAATTCAGCTAGTCACCAAAACTGCTTTTAGTATTCTAAGGAAATGTGAACCTCCTATCTCCGAGACACCTTCAGAGCAGGAGAGGGGTGCTCTTTTAATTTTTTACTGTTAATATTATAGTGACAATAACACCTTCAAGTATCAGTTGGCAGCTTTTTTTTTTTTTTAGTAGGCTGTAGAAACATGCTGCAATGCTAGGACACTAGCTGGAGAAATCTCTATGTGTATAGATCATTTGATCATTCAAAAAGGAAAAAAGTGTAATAAACCATGATAACACAGTAATTACCTTTCATGATGTATTTGAACAGGTTGCTTTGGGTCGTTGTACAGTAGCCTGATCTATTGCTCCATAGAGTGCCTTGCGAAACTAGCACCACATGTGCCAAAAAAAACAAAACCTTAATTTGCTGTTTTTATTTGACTTTGCCATATTGATCTAAAGCTAAAGAGGCCCTACTTGCAGTTACCAAGATTGTAAACTAAGTGAAGAACACAGGATTTTGTAGGAAAACACACAAACCAGAGAATTCATAGGCAGAGGTCAAATCAGATGCCAACTATAAAATGAAATATGATGTCATCATCTATTAACTGTGAATGGAGATGAAGGTGCTAAAACACCTCTCCAATGAAAAAAGTCACCTCATGTATTAGCACTTTTATGTCTAGTTTAGGTGGCTCCTTTCAAAAAATTGAATTCACAAATATTATAAATCATTATTATTTAAATTATTATTATTACATTATAAATTATGAAGCAGAGCAAGAGGTGGCAAATTGTAATCTCCTGCTTTAACTATTTTGCATGTTTCTATCAAGGTGAATCCAATGTATACATTCCCGTGCACTTGGTACAATTTAGGACCCTTTGAGGTTAACATGCCTTTTAACACTGATCTAATAAGCAATCTCACCTTATTGTTGTGTGCATTGGTAATTTGTTTTAAATGTTCAATTTCTCGCTCTTTTATAGCATTGCTGGACAGCAGACTTTTCAGCTGGATTTCAAGTGCTGAGACAAGTGTGTCCCTCTCATTGCGCCATTTCTGAAGAGTACTATCCTTCTCAGCCAACTGAGCCGAGAGTTGTTCCTGGGAAGAAAGGCAAGAATTTAGACTTATGCAAGATGAAAAGAAACTAAAGCTGAAAAAAATAAATCTTCAACACAAAAGGTTTCCCATTCAGTGTGCAACTCAATCCAATATTGATTGCTCAACAACAGGGGTGTCACCTGCCTCCCATGGATTCTCTAAATGAAGAGAGAAGCCAAACCGCTATAGCCAAGTGTGGGGGATCTAAAGGCAAAACTTTTTTTCTGTTTTGAATATAGTGGTAAGGGGTTACAAACCTTGTAAATTTTCATTGCTCTTAGCTCAGCACATTTTATTTAATGGAAGGCCATAGGTCTAAAACTACTCGATTTGAATAAAGTAAAGCAAAATTATATTTAAGGTTGTAAAACATCATTTTTTATTTTCTTCACTTGTGTCTGGTTTAGCTGAATGTCAGACCGCAGCCAAAATGCTTAATTTTTTTGAATAGGGGGAAGGTTTACAATCTCTGTTAAGCTCTTAATGTTTATCTACCATGAGTTTAGATATTCCTTTACCAGGAAAGCGAAGGGAAATCTAGTCCAATGCCACACAGATGTTTGAGAGACACGTAAACCATAAAATTCCAAAAGAGCAGGCCAACGCGCTTTGATTTTGTCTGGCTCTTTTGGAGCTTTAAGATTCTAACAAACACACTTGGACGCTTAAACATATACTTGTTCCTCTATATTCTATGGTCTCTACCCAGAAAGCCCCTGGAGGCTTTATAAGAGCTGCCTAACCAGAGTAACTGGACTCAACACCACAGACTTAACTTACACTACAAGATGAAATTAACCATCAGATCCAGCGGCTTGCACCCTCAACTGCATATTATATACCCGACAAAGATTCACATTTTTTCTAGTCCATTAGAGAGAAGGCAATAGTATACACACCAGAGAGCAGCATTTTATGTTCTTATATTTGTGATATCTGTGAGAAGTAGGTATGCACCGATACCGATACAAGCATCGGTATCGGCGGCGATACCGATTATTTGCATGAGTACTCGTACTCGTGCAAATACTCCAAAACATAAAACGAGTACCTGTGCCGCGTCCGCCATCTTCAGGGACCCGGATCCGCCGCACACAGGACCTCCATCGCGTCTTCAATCAAGCAAGATGGCCGCAACCTCCTCTGTCCTCTGCTCCATTCTGACCTCTTCTCCCGCTGATTGGCCGATTGGATGATGACAGGCTTCCTCACCAGTCAGGCTTCCTCACCTCACCAGTCTCTGTTGCATATAGTATTTAAAAAAAAAGAAAATAACTATGTAGATATTGCTAACTAAGGCTTGTATCCCCCTAGTGGTCAAAATAGATGCAAACTCATGCAAATACTCGGTATCGCCGCCGATACCGATGCATCCCTAATAACTATGTAGATATTGCTAACTAAGGCTTGTATCCCCCTAGTGGTGAAAATAGATGAGCACATGTCTAGACTGTAGACCAGAACACAGTGTGGCACAGCTACAGCCAATTCTGCATACCTGGCTTTATATTATAAGAAAATGTTATAATAATATAAAGCCAGTTATACAGAATTGGATACAGCTGTGCCACACTATACAGTGTTCTGGACTCTGGACATGTGCTCATCTATTTTCCCCACTATGGGGATACTTGTTCTGGTCTGCAGTCTGGACATGTGCTCATCTATTTTGACCACTAGGGGGATACAAGCCTTAGTTAGCAATGGCATGATAAATATTAATTTCATTATTCAATGTCTTTTTTTTATATTATAAATGTTATTAAAAAAAAAGACATTGAATAATGAAACTAATATTTATCATGCCATTGCTAACTAAGGCTTGTATCCCCCTAGTGGGGAAAATAGATGATCACATGTCCAAACTCCAGAACAGTGTATTATTGTTTAGTGTGGAACAGCGGTATCCAATTCTGCATACCTGGCTTTATATTATAAAGTTCTTATAATATAAAGCCAGGTATGCAGAATTGGATATAGCTGTGCCACACTACAGAGTGTTCATGTTCTTCATAATATTAAGAAACTGACCTAAAATCATGGTTTTGTATTGCTTTAGAAAAAATGTGACCTGCCCCTTTAAGAAAAAGTATCGGTAATTGGTATCGGTGAGTACTTGGAAAAAAGTATCGGTACTCGGCCTTAAAAAAGTGGTATCGGTGCATCCCTAGTGAGAAGTGATAAGTATACCAGCAAGTACAGGGTTTTTTTAAAAAATACATTAGGTTTTGACGATACGATAAACAACTGTTTTCTGTATATTTACATGTTATTTTAACTATCTGAATAATAATGGTGAGCATTTCAAAGCCTATTTATACTTATACATCTGTTCTCCCCACAGATTAACAGGAAAAAAAACTGAACACAGTGAGTCATTTTTTTTTTGGCCGTACAAGAAAAATGCGGCAAAGTAACTGATGTTGAGATATGTATACCATATCGCATACACGTTTATTCAGCTACTCAGAATTCTTAAGTAAATATTTTACTACTAATTGCCTTTTATCTGGTATATTGGCTATTTTCCTTCTTCGAATAAGGAAAAGAATTCCAGCTACAGGCTATTATCCCTCTTCAGGAAATACTATTATCCACCAGATATCTTGAGAAGATACAGTGATGGATTAAATACTGTATGACTCAACATAAGAAATTAATTTGAGCAGGGGCTGGCATATCACAAAATGTATTACACGTTAATATGCCTGCAAACCTGTTATGACACACACTGTTATAAATACTATGCTCAACTGAGAAAGTTTGAAAACTGTTTTAAGTTTACTTTGTTTTTATCCAGAAAACATGGAGCAAATCTCACAGCACTGAAAATGCTGGTGTCAAGAAGTAAAATGTATGTAGGGCCAAAACTTTGTTTTAAATAGACTAGAGAAGGACTAGAGCCCTTGTTAAGTTTTGTTTTTATAAATATAAAGGAATGCACCGATACCATTTCTACAAGTACTGATATTTGCCCAAGTACTTACAAGTACCGATACATTTCTGTTTGTCATGTGACAGTTTTTCTAAAACAATATCGACTAATGATTTCAGGACAGTGGTGGAGCGCCAGAGGTAGGTCCCAGCTGCAACCCTGGTAGTTCTATCCAGACCTCTGTTAAGGGAGATTTTTCGTTTACTCTCTACCCAGTTGACAACCTTTTAACCTGGAGAGTGTTCTAATTCTCCCCCACTCAATCCAAAACTAAAAAAAAAAAAAATGGTCTATAAATACACTTTGAGACATTCTAGGAGTTAATTAGTGTTAGGCATTAAGTTAGGGTTTGGAACTCAAGGGTTAACGTCAAAAGAAAAGTTTTTTAGCAAGGAGATGGCAGAATAAGCTCTATGGTCAGGGCTGGTTTTGAGCAAGACACAGTCGCAAGACATTTTTTTTTAGTAAATGCCAATTGAATATATCAGAGAATAAGGCTTGAGCATCAATGTTTCTTCTTCTGCTGCAGCAGGATAAATGAGGCTCCTTGATGAGGTCAGAGCTAAAAGGCCTTATATAACATTCTGCCCACTGGAGTCTCCACAAGATATAAAATGCCAGAAAGCAATGAACCCACTAGCATTCAACTACAACATCTTATCTTTGAAAAACCTTGATAAAAAGCAGATCGAAATCAAAGCATACTTTTTGAACAAATTACAATACGTTAATTATGCTTTACTATGTCATTTAGCTTAGTAATAACAAGGTGCAGTAACACAATTATCAGCCAACTTTCATTGATATGACTACATACTGTAACTCGTGAAAGCTACTATCGGTATTAAACACTTTTTTTTACCATTTCACTCTGTTGCTTTGTAAAACGTTCTCGATCATCAGCAAATTTTCTCATTTCCTTGTTTCGGTGATTTTCTGACTCTTTCGCCTGAGCTATAAGGGTCTTTTTCTCTTCTAGCCATTTCTTTCTGTCATTGCTGTATTTCTCTTCAAACTCCTACACACAAGTAAAATTGGATCATAACTACACAAATGTAAGCATTTTCAAGTTAAAGCATACATCTGGACATAATAAACTAATCACTTACATTGCTTAGCAGGCACCTCCAGACTTGTTTTTCTATAGAGCATCCCCTGAGCGCCAAAACATACAGCCTTCTTGTTATTAAAAAAAAAAGTGTCCAGCTAAGTAGTTGTAGGCTTTGGCCAATCCCCTCCCACGGCTCACTATAGGCCCATCACTCTTATGGGCAGCTAGACTAACCAGTAGACCAACCAGTAGACCACAGTAGACAAGCAGAAGGTAGCGATTTCTATATCCTTCTCTTTGCTGCAGACCTTAGTCTCATTCACCATTACCAGCTGTGTCATATCAAGAGGATTCCCAGATTGAATACAAACCACCAACTGCTTGATGTTCCACTATATGCACACTGACAAATGAACATGCATAGTGCTGTGACATCAGGGGATCTCCTCAATGAAAAGTGAATAAAGTACCCTACAAGACTAGAGTTGCTGATGGTATGACATTTAACATTCAGGACCTTGCCACAGATGATGAATCTTAAAACAAATAAGTGGTGCAGGGATGTTTGTAGCATTAGATGACATCACGGTTCTGTAGGCAGGTATAACTTTTTACAAGCTACAAGCTTAAGATGTCAAAAATGTGAGTGCATGCAAAAGTTGCGTAGCCTATGGGATATGGAACAGCCAACTCCCAGGTCCTGTGATCAATAGCCAATCAGTCTCAATTTCTATAGCGAAAAGGATCCTTTCATTCATTACAGCCCAAAGACAATATTGCAATAAATCAGAAGCAACAGCAATTGTGGAAACCGTATAGTGGCTGCTTTAAGAAAGGGAACAACTTTAATTATCTGTCAGATCTGTGCCTAAGTCACAGCAGCATGAAGTACCATTGTTGTCTTAAGTTGGCTATACACGGCTCAACTTCGGGTCAATTGCTGTTGAATCACCCAAAACTTGAGCTGTGGGGGGACCTGTGAACACCACCTGGCTTGACAAAATTATATTTATAAATTGACGGAGGCAGGTAGAAAATTATTGCAGGTGTCACGGCTGTCTGAATATAATAGCCAGCACAAGAGATTCTATCTATTAATTTTCTCTCATATAGCCAGTGGGCTCAATGAGAGAGAATGAAATGTGCATGCCTAGCTTTAGTTTGCATCAAGATTTCAGCTACCCAAATACAGACTAAAACCTGACAACTGGAAAACAAAGAATGGCAGGAATTAGCCTCCAAATGTGCAGTAATCAGCAGATATTACATCATTAGATCCGCGCAGGAACTGATTATACTGTATATCTGACCTAACAGTTACAAACTTACTTTTAGCTGGTTCTGTAGCTTGGTTACCTCTGAGTTGACAGTCTCCACGTTATTATTAGTCTCGCAACTTAACTTTGTTAGGATTTCTTTACTAGAGATCTTTGCAAGCTCTCTATACTTTTGTTTCCACAATTCCAATTCTGCAGAAAGAAAACAATACATCACATTCAGAAAAAAACTGCTATAAAATGTTCACTGGTAAGGCTGTGGCTATGTGTTATCTGGTCATTATGTACAAACCTAAATGGGAGCTAACATGTGAGCACATTAAGGATGTATGCGCAGAAAGCAGCTGGTCTAAACCACTTGCATATTAAAAAAGGAGAACTATGGGGTTAAGGCTTTTCCCCATAGTTCTCCTTAGGGTAACGGGAGGACACAAACTAGCGTCCTCCAGTCAACCTAGGCTCAGTATACAGCGAGCTACAGCTCGCGGTATACCTAGACGTTGCGGTATAGGGCGAGCTGCCGCAGCTGAAGCGGATCCCGACAATGATGTCTGGATCCGCCCAGCTGTGTGAGTGACAGCTGGCTCTGCCTATCTAGAGGCAGAGCCAGCTGTACCCGCCCCCTTCCCCATCTGTTCAGCCAGTCAGCGCTGGAGGATCGGAGCGGGGAATCCAGCCCCTCCACTGTCACGGCAGAGAGCCGTGACAGGATCGAGAAGTGAGCGAACGCCGGTATGTGTTCACTCACTTTCCCGATCTACTGAGCCGACCTGGGACAGTCTCATTGTCACAGGTCGGCTAGAACTATGAGGTGAGTGAAAAGCACTCACCTCATAGTTCTCCTTTAATATGTAGGTTATATAATATCAAGCTGCATTCAGGAATGACCATGACCACTAACACAGGTGGTTATGTGAGCTCCCAGTAGGCTGCTATGTTCAGTTCCCACCAGGGGCATTATATGCATTGATTTAACATTTTCTCTATGTGTTTGCATGGGTTTCCTCCTACAGATGGAAAGTTATTCAGCTTCCGTCATACTGATCATAAAGGGATTATAGCAAGGACATTAGATTATTAGCTCCTAAGGGAGCAGAAAATGAATGGCTCTGGTGTCTCTAAGCACCAAATGAATTTACCTGAGCTGTGTAAACAAATAGAACTACAGGTAAGTGGCTGCAGCTACACATTGTAATTTACCACTGAGGCTTTTGCATAGACTGCCATATTAAGTTCTTGAATATCAGTATTGCATGATGGATCCATTTTAATATAACCTATCGTAACGCTTTAGCTGATTAGGATGGCCCACATTCAGAGTACTGTAAAGCAGTAAAATAAAAAAATAAAAGATAGCACAAAATGACTGCATATCTAAGGCAACATATTTACCTTCAGCCAATTTTTCTGCTTCTTCTACTTTGGCCTCAAGTGCCTGGTCTTGTTCTTCCTGGGTCTGTTCCTGTTCTATGAGTGTCAGCTTCATGTCTTCAATTATCTTTTCCTTTGCATCTACATCTGAGACAAACAGACACAAGAAACTTCAGCTTCAGTTTTCTTCATTCAATAATCATGTTAACTCTTGTAGTACAGCACAGTTCACAGGTAAAGCATTTCAGTCAAATCATTCACGTTTATATTACAGTATCTGTAATAGGCAGTTTCTGAAATATATACTTGCACAAGAAAACAGACACCATGTTAAAGAACAGGAACTCGTACAGGGAGTGCTCCCCATTCGGGAGTGAGATACAGCATTACTTGAAAATTTATTAAGCCACATCTATTTCACAATCCTCTATATTCAATTGGCATTTACCGTTACACTTTCTAAATGTATATCCTAAGCGATAGCCAGTGTTCACTATGAAGGGTCTCACTCTACTAGTTTTGTTGACAACTTTTTCAATAATCGATTATGTCGATTAGTTGTTGCAGCCCTAACTAGTTTGCACTCGCACTTATATTATACAAAGATAAAAGTAGCGATTCCAATTGCAACTGAAGAGAGCTAGGAAACTAGAGGGAGATTCACCTCTGGGTCAAGCTAAAATTGAAAACAAATGACATTATACTAAGAATGAAACGCTAGGAAAAAAAATCTAGCTGGTAAAGCTGTGCCTGTTATGTAGTCTTGTAGTTTTTATGAACAGGAAATAAAATAAAAAAAAGGTCAGTGTATAAATACAAAAATTTACAAAATGTAAGAAAAAAAAAAGCAAAAGTGAGATCCCATTGAAGAGAAGAGTGCTGGAGCCTAGATGTTGCTCTGAGATACGAGAGATTCCACCCACCTACCCAAAACTAAAAAAAAAACCCCAGTAATTTTGCTCTGTCCCTGCTTGGGACTAGATGGAAGAGAGATTGAAAACAGTGTGAGAAGTCAACAAGCTCTTACACTGGGCCCCTGCAGAAGACAGAGAAGGTCTTTGCATACCGCCTGCCAGAGGAAATATATTGATGTTATAGTATACATGCACTATTAGGTAACACTTTGCTTTAGTGTTACCTTTGACCTAACACAGTATTTGAGTACAAGGGTTTCACTTTAATAGTAAGATCTCATGATTTGTCAGGTTATCTTTAATGTACAAGGCCTTTGACTTCTTCATGCAGGCACCTTTATAGCCTATCATCTTTGTAATATCTAGCGGGTATTGTGTATTTTAATTTCGGTCTAATCAAAGCCAAGGAAAAGGAAGGGAAACTTTAACAAGATTTTATGAGAAGCAGTGACTCAATTATTTGAAAATATATACAGTTTTGTTGTCATTCTTGATGCAGACACACACAGTCCAGATTTAGTGTACTATATTTTATGTTGCTAATGTAAATATCACATACCTGTCTTTAGGTGCATAGATAATATATGAAACTCATTACCTTGACATGCTTTCTGGTACAGCTGCATTGTGCCTCCATTTTTCTCAGTATCACGCTGTTCCTATATAAAAAGGGAGTCTATGAATATCAGCTATGCCACAGCAATTTTTATGAGAACATAAATCATACAGTGATCACTGTACAAGCTCTTCCATGTCAGAATTATTAACCAGTAGGATTTAAGCAGATGCCCTAGTTATGAAGCTATCATGTGTAATCTGTAAACAAAATTGAAATGAGAAAATGTTACTACGACCTTTAAGAGGCAGGCTATGCTATTAACCCCATCATGACAACTTGTTTTTAGTGTTTGTTAGTTAATAACCAACTTACTTTTTACATTTTTGCTGTGCGATTCTTCCACAGCAGTAATAGACTTTCTTACAAAGTGCACCCACACATATTATATATTGTTTGTAGAGGACAGATAGTGCTATATATTTCTATTACATATGTGTGCCTAACGCGTCCCTCAGGACAAATAAAATAGAAAAACAAAATGAGGAAAAAAAAAACTTAAAAAGGAGAACTATGAGGCGAGTGCTTTTCACTCACCTCATAGTTCTAGCCTACCTGTGACAATGAGACTGTCACAGGTCGGCTCAGTAGTTCGGGAGGTGAGCGAACACATACCGGCAGAGCCAGCTGCCAGTCACGCAGCTGGGCGGATCCAGACATAATTGTCAGCTTCAGCATCTTAGTATACCGCGAGATACTGAGGCATCCATTAATGAACAGTAACTGCTGATTCTCAGCGGTTACCAGCATTCCACAGCCCCAAACAGCTGATCACGTACGTTGTACGTGACCAGTCAATTGGGCACTTAGTGGCGGGGACATACAGTGTATGTCTTCCATCATGAAGGGGTTAAGCTATGGTATTTCTATATATTTTTATGGTCTCGGGCCCTTCAGAGGGGCAGAAGAGCCCAGAAACCATGGCGGGGTGCAGCATTTTTAAGGACAGTACAAGTGATCAGACTGCTCTACAGCTGCCCATATCACTTGCACTCAAAAGTCCAATGTCTGCTGGTTAAAATTATACCAAGATTGCGACTTCAGCAGCAGCCATGATCTTGGTATAACCAATTCAAAACCAGGGCATACAGGTATGTCCTATGATCCTGAAGTGGTTAAGCTGGGAAACCTAAACTTCTGTGATTTCTAAATTCTCAAACAAACTTCTATTTTAACTTCATAATATCATTTTGTACCATTTACATTGCAGGAAAAAAATTTGATTTTTGGTCTTTTCTTCGAGTTCATCAATAGAGACAGGGTTAGTAATTCTGAGAAACCAGGATTTTGCTGACACCTAGAGGAGAAAAGGGCACTGGCAAAAAAAAACAAAAAAAAAAACTGAACAGCATAACCCCCTCGACAGTCTTGTGCAAGTGGCAGCAGGAGTGACCATATTATAGAGGAGTGGGACCTGTGTCTCCCAATGAACTCCAAAAAATAATTCTGTGGTAAGTCAAAAACACTGTTTCTTTATTATTCATTAAGGTACACAAGGTCAGGTTAATTCTGAGACAATTGGGATGACCAAAAACAGTGAGGGGTGGGCAACACAGCAAACAAAGCGCTAACACCCCACAAATATGTTAACACTTGGGGCTAGATAAAGCTCATAGGAGGTGCCTGAGGGATCTATATTTGCAGCTGGTATAACAGGAGGCCTGAACATCATGTGAACAGAAGACCAGATGGCAGCCTTACAATTCTGAGAAATAGATGCCGGATACTGAAAAACCTATGAGTCACTTACTGATCTAGTGGAATGTGTTTTGATAGGAAAAGGTGGACTATTGTCCTTAAGCCTAGGATGAGTTGCCTAAACCTAAAAAATGGAGCAGGTACGAGAGGCAGGTAGTCCACTTACAGGGACAGCTTGTGCCACATTAAACAGTGAAGAGACATCTCCTTGGGATGTACTGGAGCAGGACAAAGAAATGGAAAAACTGTCCTGGTTCAGGTGAAATTAAGGAACCACCTTGGGGAGAACAGAAGTGTTAGGTCTCAAGATGACCTTGTCTCTGTTTAGCAAGACAAGGCCCCTAACTCAAACTCACCTCACAGAAGCGATGGCAATGAGGAAATCTAATATGTCTGATGGGTTCAAAGGGTGTTTAAGAGCTTCCAGAACCTTGACACCCTTTAAAAAAAAAGCTTTCACAAAGGAATGAAAGGCCAGTGCTCTTTAACCGCTTGAAGACCAGGTGTTTAGACCCCCTTCCTGGCCAGGCCATTTTTCCGTCAAAGTGTTGCGCTGCAGTACTTTGACATTTATTCCGTCATGCAACGCTGTACTGAAATTAATTTTATACCATTTTTTGGGGATAGATAGAGCTTTATTTTGGTGGTATTTAATCACCACTACGGGTTTTATTTTCTACTATATTCAGGAGAAATTACTGAAATTTTTTTTTACATTATGTTATAAAACAACTAATATTACCCACTTTTTTGGTAAAATATAAAAGACGGGGTCACGTCGGGTAAATAGACACCAAACATGTCAAGCTTAAAAATTGCGCGCACTCGCAAAAAACTAGCATACCCAAAATTGGCCATAGGCGACGCTTTAAAAGCTTTTACCGCTCATTAGTTTAGTGTCATCAGTGATTGATGGCCCTAGAGCTATTGCTCTCATTCCGACGTTCGCGGCGATATGTAACATGTGCGGCGTAATGGGCGCAATCGTCGTTTTCGCAGGTATGCGCACCTGACGCATGTTTACATGCGTGTATGTAGGGGTGGGGACTTTAAAAAAAATTTTATTTTTTGAAATTATTTTTTGTGTAACTTAAACAAATTTGGGGGGAAACTTTAAATTTTTTTACTATTTTTTTTTCCAGTTAACTTTATTGCTATCACAATAAACTGGCTGAGAAACCCCCTTATGTGATAGCAAAAGAGGTGACAGGTCCTCTTTATGGAGATATCAGGGGTCTCCAAGACCCCTAATGTCACCTAGGACCCCCCTGAAGAAGCTGATGAAGCAGAGATCTGCTTCATCAGCTCCTCTCCAGCATCTGAAGCTGGAGAGTGACACGAGAATGCGGAAGTGATGTAATATACA